TTTCTTTTTGTTGAGCTGAAACCACTTTCGCTTCAGTAATTTTTACATATTCAGCGTCTACTTGCAAGCGAAATAGCTCACTTTCAGTACCTGATACACTGCATCTCGTACAGTACTAAATAATTGCTTAGATGCATAGATACATACTTCATGTGAATGCTGTTAACCGTTGTTCTCTGTTGCTTTTATGCGAAATAGTGCCATGTAGCATAAATTAAGAAAAAATATCTATTAATGCTGAAATATAAAAAGTGATTCAAAACATCAAAATTCCGCATAAATTGTTTTAAAAGTGTAAGACATGTAATATATTTCAGTATTTAGCAAACGGAATATATCAGCTTTTGTTTTATTATTATTTTTTATTTTTGTAAAACATTGTATTTTGTAGACAATCTTAAAAGCAGTTGTAATTTGCATTTTATACATAAAAAATCATAAAAAGACAATATAAATACCATTTTTATAACTGTATGTATTCTGTTAAATATTATTAACAATTTTATGGATTTTTTCAGATAATAAATATTTTTTAAGCAGATGAGAAGTAATTTTATATTATTTGCAAAACAAATAATAATTCAGTATTGTTTTTTTGTGGTCAAAGAAACACAAATACTATATATATTTAATAACAATTGATTATAATAACTGATAGTGCAAAAATGTTAATATTTAGTTTTATAATAGAAGCTTTATAGTTATAAATATCTAATTGGTATATACAGTTTGCTACATATAGTTATAGTACATATAGTTATATATGTTATATATATAGTTATATATAGTATAAATATATAGTATATAGTATAATTGGTATATATACCAATTGGTATATATAGTTTGCTACATATAGTTATAGTACATATAGTTATATATGTTATATATAGTAGTTATACACATGACCAAACACTGCTCCAACAGCAGTTGAGAGTTTCATATTTTTCATATTTTTCATATTTAGCGCAAGATTCGAGTATATATAATAGCATAAGATATGCACGATGGAACTATACTGCTGAGGACAACAATATATAAAAATTTTTTGTTTATGTATAGCCGAAAAAGTCGGAGTCTAACTTGTCGTATAATACCAACATTAGTACTTCACCATTAGAACCTACTCAACCAACTTTACTTATTAAAAAAAAATATATAAAATCTATTGTTACACATTCAATTTTATGACTGTATATATAATTAGGTTGGATTACTATAGTAATCGTTTGGTTTAACTTTGTTCACTTACTCATCGTATTGCTTTACATATCTACCTCGAAGTGCTTATGGGCATATCTGAATAAAAAAGTCAGATTTCTTGATTCTTTCTTAAAAACGATACTTCTTTTCGAACATCTTGTGGGCGTTCTTAAATTTGTGGTTTTTTATAAACATACCTCTCAAAAAAACATCGGCGTGGAGACGATTCCAACTCTATAATGACCTGAAACCAAAAAGAAAAATACTGAATTAGTATAAATATCGCTTCACTACCTTCAGAAAATATTAATCATAAAAAATAGGTGGCTTCCTGAAATTAAAATATTATTATTATTATTATAATATTAATTATATTGTTTTAACTACTTTTTTTTAATAATTTTTGTTCCCTAAAAAATATTCCATTTAAAATAGCTATATATCCGAAAGCATTTCGAATTTTGAAATATCTTTTTGGGTAAATGTTTTTGGTTGCTAAAGTTTTTAAAATATGTGACCAAAATATATTGGAAATTATTTTTATCTATATTATTTATTTATATTATTAATTATTGATTATTGAAAAAATAATAGAATTTTACTTAAAATCTAATTGGATAATACTCGTTATATATTTGTTGTGTTTTTACCTGTACTAAAGCTTAGCATATTCTTCAAAGAGTCAAGCTCTCGTTTACCTTAATCTGCTACAAAATAAGTTTCCATCATATGCAAAAACTACCTACCAGTAACAGTATGAAGGCCGGTTAATTTGGCCTTTATTTCTCAAGACCAAATCTTAAAAAGTTATTATAAAGCAGCGTGTAAATACTACAAGGCTTACTGTAGATCTCTATAGTCACTGTTGTAAAGGAACCTACGGAGAGGAGTTGCACTTTTTTTTTTATACTCACTGTAGAGCTTAAAGATACTTATAAGAAAAATAAACATTTAAACATTTTCTCTATGAATGCCTGCTGGCTCTGTATTTTAGAAGAAATAGGATTTTAGAGAAGCACTTTTGATACAGTTTTTCACACTGTTCCTCGGTAAGGACAAAATTATCTAAATTCAACTGAATGTACTTAGTCTTTTCATATTATTGTTTATAGTTTTTTATAAGTGATGTGATAGTCAAATTGCGAAAGGTCTCTAATTATGGGTAGCGGAAGCTTATATCTCTACAGGCTTGCCACTGTAATCAACCAACCCATTAAATTGATGCGATTTATAATAACATATTATATCGTATAGTTATTTACCATATAATATAAGTACAGTGAAAACTATAACTGTGGGTAGACAGTTTTTCTCAAATCAAATTTTTTTTCAGCAATATGAACCATTTTGACCGAAAGTCACATTTCAACAAACAAAAGTTGTTCCTTGAACAGAGTTTTCACTGTAATATAGTTAGGCTTGAATTATATTTTTTGGTATTTAATGTTTCAATCAAAAACTAAATCTAATGTATTTTTGATTGGTGTTACATTGAATATCAAAATTTTAATTGTCTTCAAGGCCGTCTTTTTCTTATTTCATTAAAAACTGTTTCGCTGATTTTTTGACTGATTTCGCTTATTTATATTGTTTCATATACATTTATTTTTGTACAAATTCTTATAAAAAATAAATTTATTTAATTTTACTTTCATTTTTTATTGTTGTTGCTTGATTGAAGTAGCTACTGTAAAATTTACCTGAAAGTATAACAAAAAAATCATATGAGCACTTGTAGATTTTATATCTTTTTGAAGCAAATTATAACAAAACTGTTAAATGATTTTTAATTGTTTTTTGTTCATATTTTTTATTCAATAAAATTATTTAATACCTTAAAGTGAATTTTTAGTGTTTTAAATGCGATTTAATTAAAAGATATTTAACCAGTTTTTTGTATCTATTACATGATTGCGAATCTTAAACTCTTTCCTACAAACTCTTTTGAGTATGTTTAATAAAATATAACAAAACTAAAACGATAGTATATGTAAGTCTATAGATATATATACATATAATATTTATACTTTTATGAAATGGTAGCATAGCAATTGCTATGTATACGAATTATTATATTAATTCTCCATTAACAACTTTTTTGTGAGTATCTTATCTGTCATGATTATTAATAAGCAAACATTTCTAACAAAAATTAATTTTTATCTATTTTTCATTAAAGTAATAGTTAAAAAATATGCTGTTTATTGCCCTCCTCCATATTATATTTCAAAATTTTTATGAATGAATTTTAGAAATTGATTAATAATAATCATTATTAAATTTTGTGCAATTAAACTGACAGCAACAACAATTAAATTAATAATAACATTGCGAATTGAATAAAAAAAAATATATATTAAAGTCTTCATAAAAGCTGCCAAAACTAAAATAAACAAATTAATTAACAAAACTGTGCATTTGAAATTTTTATTAATTATAATTTTAAATTATTTTATATACAATAATTTACAATTAAAGCCGTTATAAGCTTGGATGGCTTTATGCCACACAAATTGATAAAATAATTTTCATGACTTTCAAAAAGTATTATTATAATATTTCATGTAAAGAATAATTATTTAAAAATATAATAATCAATATGATATATATTTAATAGCTATATCTCTTCGCAATTCATTTAATTTATTTAAATTTTTTTTTGTTTCATTTTAGGTAAAAATTTGGTTCCAAAATCGTCGCTCGAAATATAAAAAAATGATGAAAGCTGCACAAGGCCCAGGCACCGGTAGTGGTATGCCTTTGGGCGGAGGTGGTCCAAATCCTGGTCAACACAGTCCAAATCAAAACATGCATGCTGGTAAGTAATTAAATTTGATTTAAACGTATATTTTTTTAAAACATAAGGTATAAGTACTTTAGGAGAATGTTACAAATTACATTTTCACACAAAATCAGAAACGATTTGTGACTGAATCACATAATGTAAAATTTTTTATAGCTTGATGAACGAACCTGTAGTCTATGAAGGACTAAACATGTATTATTAAACTATAGAATTGTACTGAGAATTTTGCACTACAAGTGCTCACAAGAAATCTTCAACAGTGTGATCACCGTGTTGGGACTACTGTAAGGATATGAAAGAGAATAATTGATGGTAAACTGCAAAAGGTTTTGTAATTAGCCAAATATTACAAAACAATTAAATATCATAGGATTATGTAGACTTGTTCTATACCGAAAATGAAGGATAACTCTTTCACCCATTTTATAAAGTTTAGAAAAAATAAAAAAGTTTAGCTTTGGCTATAGTGATTATATAATACCCTTAATAGAGATAGGTTTCTTTCTCATCTTTCCGGATTCTACCCAGGGTTTGAATTGCTTACTGAAAATTAGCAAAAGCAACCATATTTTGACTAATGCATAAATATTGACCAGTCAATATTTTGTTTTGCTATTAGCAAATGTGTATGGATTTCTTCTTTTTGTTTTTGTTTTAAGGGAATGTGTACGCATTATTTCTTTGTTGGTGCATTGAATATAGTTGTGCAAAATTGTAAGTAATGTGTGTGCGTACAATTTGTATGCAATTAATATAATTTTATCTGTAATTAGATTATGCCTAAATTTATGCATTTTTTAATTATTAAATTTATGATATATATGATATATATACATATATATTAATTATTAATTCATATATATATATATATATACATAATTAAGTATTAATTCATAAGCTAATATGGCGTTTACACTGGCTGAAAATGGCTCATTCTGAATGAGTCATTTGAAAGTGTTTACATTCGTTGTATTTCATTTTTTCTCATTTCAAACAGCTGATTTTTCAACTTGCATGTTGATTTAATTTTTGGTCTGTGCCAAAAAAATGTTACAGGAAGGTTAAATATACCTTCAAACCTTACAATATAAACTGAAAACTTGTTTCTAGATTCGATTTATTTATTTTTGGGAAGTAGAAGTTCCAAAAATTGGTGCATCGTTTTAAAGAAAATGCAACCACCAAACATTTGTTTACCTTTTTTTGTAAATATGTCAAAACAGCTTTTTCAAACTGTCAAAATGCCATGAAGACCTTTCATTTAGGGTATGTTCAATAGATTCCTTTGCATTTGGAACATATGTGGAATACATTCGAACGTCTTTCATACAGAATGTGAGAAAATTGCTCATTTTTGTGCTTGAAATTTTATATGCAAGAATGAGCCATTCGATATTCATTTTCGATTTTTGACCAAAATGAGCCATTTTCGGCCAATGTAAACGCCATATAACGCATAAGCAAGCACGTTGCATATATTCCAAACGCATAATAGTCAAAAATGTAAAATTGACTATTAGCAAGCAATCAAAATAAAACCAGTTTACGTTTTTTGCTGTTGCTAATGCATATTCTTATTTCATTTTCATATGCAATGCATTAGCAATTATGCAAGCAATGCAATTAGCAACAGCAATTCAAGACCCGATTCTATCCAGATTAAATTTAAAGTGCCAATTTTCAATACATGTTATATCAACATTTATTATTCACAATTATTCGCTTTTCAGTTTACCTTTATAGTTTTCATTCAATTATTTAAAAGTGCATATAACTAGCATTAACATGCTCCGTTTATCTACTAAAAATTTCGCCACACAATTAATTGTCAATATTTTAATATATTCACATCATTTTTTAATAAAATTATCTTTTGGTCTATGAATAAATAGATAAATTTTTAAACAGCTTCAGTCCCAATTTAATCGCACTGAAATTTAATGACAAACATAGGTGCAGTGTCATAGAATAATGGCTCTGAATATAATATAATAGGATAATTCTCTAAAATCTTGACAAAAATAAAAACTGTGACAAATAACAGGTACAATTAAAAATTAATTGTAGTTCCTCACAAAAAAGGATTTTAAGAGCATATCAAATAAGAGAAGGTATTACAGGTATTATTATAGGTATTGCCACTTGTAATATACCAATAACAAGTCTACTATATTTCGGCAGATTGACGTTAGCGATTGACGTTCCTATTAAGAACTTTATATGAAAGCAAAAAATATCAAATATTGCATTAATTTATATCTTATATTGTATTAGTGCTAAATTGTATTTTTTTCTTAATGCATACATCCCAATCAGATTTCTAAAAATCCTGAAGGTTTCTAAGTTATCTAATAAAAAAACTTAACAACCATTGCTTATATTTTTTTTGTAAATAAAAATTATTTTTTGCAGCGACTATTTTAATATGAGAACGTCATCTTAACTACAAAAAATTAATAGATTTATATGTACATATATATACATATATGTACATATATATGTATGATTTAAGGTTATTACGTATTCTATATATATTTTTTAAAAAAAACTACAATATCTTTATTTAAAAATAGATTTTGTTTTTTTTTTTTCAGGCGGTAACAACGGTGGTGGTTCAAATAGTGGTTCACCGTCACATTATCTACCTCCCGGACACAGTCCGACGCCATCAAGTACGCCTGTATCTGAACTATCACCTGGTAAGTTATTATTGCTTTTAAAACTTTAATTATAACTAATTTATAAATAATTTAAATAATTTTATGAGTAAAAATCTTTACGATAATGGTAAGCATTAATAGTTACTAACTTACCAAGACATGTCATACGACTAATGTGTAGTGTTATAAATGAGAATAGCAAAATACAGTCTGCTTACTAGTAATATTCTGTGGATAATTCCAATTGTTTGTGTTGCTACTAAGTTTATGTCAGCTCTTACTACAATAATTAAGTTTAAATGGTTCATAAAATTACTCTAGTCTTGCAAAAAGAGATCAATCAATTGATCTCTAACTTGTGCTACTGTTTTACTTTCAGCTATATATGTTAAATTTTTCAGTTCATTTTTGAACTTCAACTGTCTTATAGATACATAGATCAATATGATAGGTTATTATTTAAGTTCATTAAAGCTCTTCACTTATTCCTGGAGTAGTAGAAGCAAGCAGATCGTAAAATTGCAGATTGTGTGACACATAGTAACAATGTGCATTATATCTATTTTAATGCTTACGGTTATATATTCCTAATTACGAAAAACGAATCTTATACCCAATTTCCATTAGAAACATAAAGTTTCTAAAGAAAGGAGTCAATCCATATTTGCTTTTATAGCAGTTAGAATCAATAACTCAAGTAATACATGCGAATAATAAGAAACAATTGCAACAATTTTGAAATTCTAAAAATTTCTGTGAGCATAAATAAGTAAAATAAAAATTTTTGAATAAGAACGTTAAAGCCTTTTGTTTGTAAAAGGATTAAAAACTAAAAAACACATATACAACAGCTACAACTTTAAAAGTTGTAACAGTTAACTAAACTTAACTCATATAGTGTTAAGTGGATGTAGTACGCCAGTCACACGATAAGAGTTAATGTTGATTACGTTTTTATCTCTCATAAGTTAAATTGTTTGTATCTGTGTTGTTTTCAATCTGGGTTAACATACAAACTGTTTCCTTCAAGAAAACTGAAGAAACCGTAACCATTTTTTTGCTCGTTTGTGCTCATTCGAAATATCGTAGCAATACTGCAGAAATTTGTTATTATTGCAAAAATTCGCATTATTCGAATGTTTTATTTAAATATCTAATTGCAGCTTCTTCGAGAGCAAAAGTGCAGTGTGAATGCAGTTAAACTTATACTCCAAGAAGTCTTTTGTTTGTCGAGTAAAAAATATATATCAGCTCAGTATATGGGGTTAGCAGCGTTAGTTTTAATAAAGAGAGACTTTTTTTTGGAATAATTTTCTTTGGGATCTTTTAAAAAGCATGATATCCAGTCATCAAAACGGTTAATCCAATTGGAATTAATGCTAAGGAATTGATTTATAACTTTCAAACATGGGTTTCAACAATTTCAATAAAAACTAAAAATAATTTATTAATAATATTAATAATAATTAATTATTTAATAGTAGTAATTATTATTATTTATTAATTAATTAATTAATAGTATTAATAATATCCTGAAACGTAATTTATATTATAAATTTATTATTAAATGTGTTTGTAACTTTTTGTTTATTGTGTATTTTATCATTTTATTTATTAAACAGACTTCTTATGCTCTTTTTAATATCTTGTTAATTTTCTATTTCTATACATATTCTCGAATGATTTTCTTAAATTGGATATATTTAATTTACTATTACTATCTTTCTTTTTGCATAGAATTCCCTCCAACGGGTTTAAGTCCGCCAACGCAAGCACCATGGGATCAAAAACCCCATTGGATAGATCATAAACCACCGCAAATGACACCACAGCCAACTCATCCTGCAGCGACACATCCTCAAGCGCATCATCACAACCCGCCACCACAAATGGGCGGCTATGTACCTCAGTATTGGTATCAGCCAGAAACAAATCCGTCGTTATTAACGTAGGTAAAATTGTTTTAAAATTTATAGAAAAAGTACAATTGAAATTAATTTTTAATAAAATATCTTAGATACAATATTATGCATAATTATTTCAAATTTGGTTAAAAATAATATGTAAGTAAATTTTCTATTTGATTGCAGGGTATGGCCAGCGGTTTAACATTAACCAACCGACAACAGTTTCACCAAACCGATCCTATTTTTATAGATAATTTCAATGCGTACATTTAAAAATTATAATTAAAAATGTTATTAAATATTTATGATTAGCACGCATAATAATAAATATGTTATGAGTATAAGGAAATCTAACAGATTTTGGCGTGAGAAATAAAAAAATTATATTTGTAAAATATGATAATAATGACATACTAATCCAAATTTATTGTATATTTCATATAAAGAAGAAAATCATAAGCCCATAAAATAAATAATAATAAAAAATTAAATAAGAAATTGCAATAAGCCTTTTTAAAATAAATTCAATTACAAATGTATACTAGTATATATACATTTAATTTACATAAAAACATTTTTTTTTTGTTTTTATTTATTAACAACATTTCTCGATTTTTTATATTTTGTAAAATACAAGAATTATTTGTTGAAATCAGCTGATGATCTTCGAAATTTTATACATGTTAATTAAAATTAAATATACACAATGAAATTTCAATAACAAAACAGTTTTCAGTTCGATCTCAAAGTTTAATATTTAAATTTTGAATTAAAAATATAAAATAAAAAAATTCGCACAATAATTTTTCATCAATTAAATTAGTGCAATATTAATTTTAATTTGTCATTCTTTCATTTAAACAACATAAAAAAAATTATAAACACCTGCTGATTAAATACATTTTTTTAAATTTTTAATTAAAGCTTAATTTGATATAATAAGAATAATAAATAATTGTGTAAATTTTTGTAAAATTTTTTGTAATATAATTATATGACTTTAAATTCGTTTTCGTATTTGCTATAATATTAAAAAATATTATGCGTAAGAATTGTAAATTATTTGTTTAATTAATTGCAACATTTTCTTTTTTTATGGTAAATAGTGTAGTCCTTAAATATATATAAAATAGTTCGTTATATATAAAATATATGATACTTACTTCATTTGCTGTAATATAAAAAATTCTAAACTATTTTAAGTTAAACAAAAAATTATTTGTAATAAATAAAATAAAGTTTTTTAAACATAATATATAAATGCGAGCATATATATTATATAGTATGTAGTTTAGCGCTGTAATTTACACATAAAAATCGTAACAAAATAAACTATAGTGAAATATTGAAATTGAGTAATTTGAGTAATAATTTTAAAATATTGAAATATTGAATTATTGAAGTATTGAAAATGTAATAGAAACAAAACAATAATTACAATAATTAATTTTAAAGTAAACAAAATAAAGAAAAAAAACAAATATTAAAAAAATAGTTTTTTAATTAATTTATTCCTTAGGTAAGTGGGACACAATAGATCTCTAAATAGTAATACAAATCACCCGAACACACAAATGATAATAAAAAGTGGATAGGTAAACATAACCGTTAACTTTCAACGTTTGCAATCGAAACACCAAGAGCAAATTTATTCTCCATATATATTCTATATAACATGACACCAGTAGTACCCCTAAAGCATGCAGTTCTCGTTAAACCATTGCGTTGTTCTAACAAAGTAGCTTTGGTAAAGAAATTCTCACAACACATGTGATATTCCCATGTTGCTAATAACTTATTTTTATTCCTTGTTATTATTTTCTGGATAGGAATAGGGTAAGTTTTTGAGGGCGTCATCTTCTTTTCTATCATTGCAGTTCGCGCACTAGTCATTGGATGTAAGACCCATTCTTAAGGCGTATCGTCATTCATTAGAAACGACAAAATATCTTAGGCTGAATAACTTCTGGGCTAATCAAAGCATCCGTATTTTTGTTTTTAAATTTATTTGTATGTGAAGAATTAGTAAACAACTATAATGAATTTTTTATAAAGCGTTTTTAAATTTCTATATATAATTAATAGGAATAAAAATTATTATAATTAAAACCAATAACACGATTATGCTTACGTATATCAATGATTCTTAAATCAATTTAGTCCAATAAAAATTCTTACCAAAAATTATACCAAACCATAAACTTCTGTGGACAGCATCATTTTCAAAAAATTGCTCTTAGATAAGAAATATGAGAAATAATTTACGACTGACTGGTCTGATTGTTTGAATGATTACTGACTTCCCCAAAGTTATCGTAACCATTAGCATAGTTTTTTTTCGAAATAAGCATAAAAACAGACTTAGAAGCTTTTCACATTTTTATTGTTTACGAGAGTAAGTGTTTAAACTATATCAAGTCGTAGACCCATTACTTTTAATGTTTCATTACTTCGCGTTCCAATCTTATGCAAATTCCGTAGAAAGATTTTGGCATTTCAACAGTATGTAGTTACCTTTCTAGCAATTTTGTCAATATACTGTGATGTTCATTTAATATAATCCACTTTAATCATTTAAATTAAATTGCAATCAAATTTAACATTTATGATATATATCTTACATTAAAGTATGTCATTTGAACAATTAGGAATTCACATACAGAATTCGTAATGATACTACAGATAGACGCTGTTCGTATTCGAAATCTGTGGGACTACCTTAATATACAATAGTTGAATATAAGGTGGTGTGTAGTTGAGACGGTGAAACTTTCCCACTCATGTGAAAGGTAACCTCAACTTAAACTACATTTTTTCCCTCTGTAATGTTAAACCCATGACAAAAATCATTACAGGGAGACAGAGTCTTATTTCGTATCTAATACGCAGTGACGTGTCAGTACAGATGTCGTAGTACTGAATAGGTTCCATATAAGTTTAGGAGTTAAGTTTTGAGAATATTGGAAAAACCATAAGTCAAGAGTTGATAGTTTCATTTGTTAAAGTTATACCTTCTTTTATAACACTCCTTCTCTCACTTTTTCTGAATGTGTTTATTAATGTATATTAAATGTTTAATATATTTTTATAAAATAAATACATTAAAAACATTTGTTTATATAATATATATATCAGAATATCAATAATTCTCTTCATTTTTTAGATGCCAAATTTATATTATCATACTTTGTCAACTTTTGAAGCCGGCGGTGGAGGAATCCAACCGAAATTGATTCGCAATTGCTCATAAAACATGAACATTATAATTGTTTGTGGAGCAATGCGCGAAAACGAGGGAACATAACCTTTAAAAAATGTTGTTGGCCCTGTTGCTAATGCTTGTTTTATGAGATTCATAACACCCTTATATTCACCTGGTTTCGCACTCATGGCTCGTGTTTTTAATACGTCAATAGGTTGAGTCATTGTTGTCACACTAACTGCCGTAACTATTGAACAAATGCAATGTAATACGAGTCCTTCTCGCATGGTTGTATGTTTTTTTAATAATAATTTCATCTAAAATTTTAAGAATGTATACTTAATTTTCCAGGTTAATTATATTATTTTTTTAAAGTAAAACATACGTGATCGTAAACAGGCATGGATGCCACTGTTACTATTATTGATCTAAGTGTCGCCAATGAACTGCCAGCAAAGAGACTTTTAAATCCTTCTTCTCTATGTATACGTATAAAACCATCGAAGACATTTTTGTAACTAAAGTGTAAATGAAATATTTTCACAATATATTAAGTTACTTAACATTCATGCTAACTTGCTTTCGACGCTGGTCCTTTGGTAATTTCATATCATTTTGCATCCGTACATTTACAACATCCGAGGGTACGCCAATAAAGCCAGCGCAGGCACCACCCATAAATGCTAGTAAAATTTTTGAACTAAAACTATCAGAATTTACATACTCTTTTCCAACTTCATAAATACCAAGTCTGGCTGTAGAATAAGTTAATTGCCGCATTAACGATGCTGATATTCCATTATAGAAACCAAATATACCTGTTTGTATAAGATATATATATAACATCATTGATATAAAGGTATTTATTATTTTGATTGTGTGGATCTATCATAAAAATGTACCGGACTCCTTAAAAACTTGCATTGTTTGACTTCTAAGACTCAATTTTTTCTCATTCGTTTGTAAGTGAACCTTTAGCAGATCCAAAGGATGTGTAAAGCAAGCAGCCATTGCACTTGAAAGACCACCAAAGTACCAACGGTGTTTTCTTTCTGGCGCTACAGTCATCCTTCTTCAAAGTTAATATAAATAATATTTATTAAACGTAAATTTTAAAGCCATTAAATAATTTATTAAAGTTTATTATACTAAATTTTGAATATTAGAAAATATTAATTTTTTATTAAATATATAAATCCATTTTTAAGAATTATTTATTATTTTTTTAATCACTTGAAAAGTTAAAAAATGTTACTTGATTTATTTAAATTATAGTCTTTAACATAAGTATATCGATTATTAAAAGTATTATGGTATAAGGCTGCAATGAGAGATGCAAAAACATATTTTATCGATTGACGCTGTACGTACCATATTAGAAACAATAAAAACAACAATTAATTGCAAGTCCCATGTTGACTACCTTCATTAAGAATATTAAATGCTTCTTGTAAAAAATAATAAGCAGCTTCTGTCTGGGCAATAATATAGATGATCATCCCAATGGCATCATATTCAGTCGTGCCTCCTCTCGAAGATGCATTCCTTAGTCCTTCTATTGCAAATGAGGCAAGGTCGTATAAAAACGTGAACTAATAGCTCTCAATAACGGTTGCATAATAACAAACTTTTCAACAGGTCTTCTTTTAAGAATATAACAATGTAGTGAACAGTTTATTGAGTTAACGGGACAAAGTAGAAGAAGAAAGAGTTATTTGTTTTTTCGCATATATGTGTCAGTAACCAATGTGTGCCCTAATTGTAGTTCTACACAGCCTAATAATTTCCTGCCTATCCTACCCCTATAACAATTCTCTCCAATTTCACACTCTTTTTATCCCAACGACTTCTTTTACTCAAATCCTGTCTGCTCTATATATCTCTCCGGGTTACCATAGTAACAATACCGTATATTTATTAACATTGATTTAATATAATTCTATTCTTAAAGCTTACATGTGATGGTAAGCAGTGGTCCAAATGTGACTTATTTACTTAATATAAAATAAACGAGTATAAGTAGCTACTTTAAAGAACGGTCGATACCACGTCCAGAGCCACTTGTCAATCACGATGATAAAGTAGCATTCGCCACCAGTCAGAAAGATCTTTCAAGCAAATCCCAGCGAGTCACAACAACAATAATATAAGTAACATGCAAAATGCGAAAAGCATGAGACAAGCAGCGTGTCAGCTTAATTTTAAATGTGTCTTGCATAATTCAATAAAGAATCGGATCGTTCTTCTGCCAATGTGCTGCTTTGTAGCGGTTTCTTTGATTTTATTGCTAAAAATAGCAAATGCTGTGTTCTCGCTATAGGCAGAGTGTTTTAAAAGTGCTTTAAACTAGCATTTTCGGTGCACGATCTTTGAGATAGGTTTTGCAGCTTATAAGTTGAATTGCATTTAAAGCAGCACGAGAATAAACAGTTCCAATGCCATAAGAATGTGTAAAGATGCGTTAGATACAAGGAAAGTAACGCACTTCACTGCTCCATCGGAGTGCTTTTAATTCCGGGGGAATAAAACATTAAGAATATATTTTTAAATACGTGAATGTTTATATATAGTAGTGTAATTAATTATTTTATAAAAATTGTAATTAAATTATCTACATTTAAGTTTTAGTACCGATCGAACGAAGTCGTATTAAATATATTTAAAATATACTTAAAATAAATTATGGTTAAGTGAGTTCAACTTAGAAATAAATGGTAGACATTAAAAAATTATTAACCATCTAAACAATATAGCACAAATAAATATACTCAACATGTTGGTTTTAAAGAAGTTTATTAAAAAAAAAATACTAACTCTCATCAACATAAAACTATATTCGAACAGATATTTGTAAATGGATATAATATTTTATAATCTGTACATTTTATATATAAAAAAAATTAAATTGTTCATGACCATTTGATAATTTATACGATTGAAAATTCATTAGTCTTGCTGATAAAAATGCACAAACGGATTAAATTAGTCTTACTGCGCAACGAGAATAGAATTAAATAATTTTAAGTTGCTAATAAAAGATCTATAATATTGTCTCAGATATGAGTTATATTAGATTATGTTAATGTGTTTACATTATACTTTAAACAAATAACGTATTTTATTTAATTATTAGGTGTCTACTTGGCCTGTCTTTATGAGTCCGGGAGGGAGGTACTGCGTTGTTTTTCTGTAACGAATAAATCGAATTGCGAATTTTTAATCGAGGGACGATTTCCTTGGTTCAACATTGCCATTTCTACTTTATATGTAGTTGTTCCTAAAGGTTTGCGATTTACATTCAAAAATCAATTTTTGTAAAATGATTTCTTTTTTCTAAAAGTTTGATTTTGTCTGTATATCATAAACTTATTTATTGCTTTAGTTTATTTTAAGCTATCAAGACATTGTAACAACATACTAGAAGAATAATATAAAGATATAAGAGAAAGGTAGCCGCCTGTAGTCCTGAAGCTCCAGCTAAGACATGGTAGTCGTGGAATCAAGTTATGAGAGAAGCAAGCAACAGAGTAAGATTTAGAGGAATCGTTGAGGCCCTGTGCTCCACTAGGAGAGAAGTACTGCAGTAAGTAAGTAAAAGTAAGTAGTGGTATAAAATGTTTCTGTTCTTCACATTATCTCCATAGGTTGAATTTCATATATATTGCCTTTGATTTAATTAATCTCGTATTATTTAAAGGATATAAATCTTTTCTCCCACTGTTCAGTTATTCCTTAGGATTTTCTTTTATTATGCCAAAATGTAAACGTAACTGCTCCATAAAGATATACATGAGTATCGTATGAGGCAGGTTTCGTACCAACGACGGCACATATCCTTTATAAAAAGCAAATGGTCCGAATTTGGCAGTACGCATTATTAGATGAACAATACCTTTATAGTCTTTAGATTTGGCATTCATAGCTCGAGTCTTAAGTACATCGATTGGTTGCACCATTGTAGTTACGCAGATGGCAGCAATGAAAGAACTTGCCGAATGCAAAACTATTCCATCATTTAAGTTTGTTTTTGAACGAAGAAATATTTTTGACTTTATTCGAATTATACAAAAAGAAAATAATTTAATAATAATTGCAGATTACTATGAAAAGAATTAATATAATTTACCTGATCATATACAGGCATTGAAGAAACATTGAGAACAATTGCTCTTAATGTAGCTAATGGACTTCCGACAAAAAGACGCAATACACCTTCTTCTCTACACACGCGTATAATACCATCAAATACATGTTTATAGCTGGATTAAAATTAATCAATGAATACTTAGTAATATAAAAATAATTCACTGTGGAGAACTTACTTTCTCCGTTCTTCTATTGGTAGTTTAACATCATGCTGCATTCGAACGTTTATAACATCGGCTGGTACTCCCATAAATCCCGATACTGTTCCACCTAAAAATGCTAAACCAACTCTACTTATGAAAGTTTCTGAATTTATTAAACTTTTGCCTACATCATAAATAGCAAAGGCTGTTGTTGCATATGCCAGTTGTCGCATTATAGATGCTGATATGCCATTATAAAATGCAAGAACGCCTATTAGTGGAAAAACCTATTAGACTATAAATATCGTATATATGTCATGGTATATGTTCTCAACTTCACACCGTGATTTTTTAAAACGTTTTTAATTGCTTCCCTTACAGTTAATTTTGACTCGTTTGTTTGCATATGAACTTTTATAAGATCTAAGGGATGTGTGATACAGGCGGCGCCAGCACTCGAGATTCCTCCAAAAAACCATCGATTACGTCTTTCTGGTTCCGAACTTGACAATTCTAACATTACTTCCTTACACAAATATCCATTTTAAATGAAATTTATATATTCATTCTAAGAATAATAAATTTAAATTAAATTAAAAAATTTGTTTAAATGAAGCATTGATTTTCACTAGTGTCAGTGCTAAAACAATCTTATTTCTTTTTGTAGTACAATCAGAAAACTTAAAATTATTCACAAAAGTTGTTACATTGCCCAACCCCTCTCTAACAAACCTTAAGTCCACCTCAGGACGCACAGGAAGATATGCTGATCTACGATCCGTCATCAGTTAAAAGATAAATAAATGATAATGATTATAGTATAGTTAAAGTTTAGTGTGGGACAGAAATAAGCCCCCCAGCCACAAAAGAGTAAAAGTGCGCAATAACACTAACTCAAATCACAACAACAACAATAAACAACAATCAGAAGTTTTTTGTAATACTTTTATCCCTTTCAAAAAAGAACAGACCCGTCACGTCTTTAGACTATATTCTTAACCATGCAATGACCTTTTATGAATGCAAAGATTTTCACACAGTTAGTTGATGAGTAAATTTTATTTGTTGATATATATATCCAACGAAAAATAAACCTCATCTCTGAAAACCACTTAATAAGACAAATCGTCATTCGATCACGGTTTCTCAAGAATCCAATATACCGTATGTTTTATACACTGTATGTTCAACCGACTTTGGTTCTTGTATCAGCCAAATTTCATAAGGATACAGATGTGAGCTCAAATATAAAATGTGTCAAAACGAGTGCTGGAAAGTATTTAGATCTCGTCATTCACGAACAGCAGCACTGTTTTCAGTCGATAGTAGATATTGATGATATATGCGTCTGGTTCTCAGCACAAATTAAGTTCATTGTTTTTTAATTTTTCTATTTGGGACTAATTATGTCACTAAAACAGTACTGCTAAATCAGGACCGTGAAATGGATAACAATTTTATAGAATACAGGCTTGCATTCTTCAGTCTTTCTAATTAAGTCCTAACTTATATAGTTAATTTATTAATTACAATATTTTTGTTAAATCCACATTTCTTTTTATCTGCAAAAATGAATATTTAATATACTTTACGCCTGAAATTAATGATGGTTGGTAGGTTGGTGGCAAATTCGTAAAAATATTTCCGCTGATAACAGTTACAGATTTTTCGCCACTTTACATAATATTAATTACTTGAAAATAATGATATATTAAGCACTGCTTTAATGAAAGAAAATATAACAAAAAATAAAAAGATAGTTATAATATATTTTATAATTTTATTTATAAATAATATTTAAAATTTAATTTTTATAATTTATTTTTATTTCTCATAAAACAGAATCATAAAATATTTAATACCTATATTTAAAATGTATGACAAGGAACTTTTACACAACACGTGTTTACGTCCGTCTTCCACCATAAAACCACACAACACTGCAAATTTATAACCAGAAAAGACTTATAATATGGAACTATATAGACCGATAAGGAAATAAAAAACAAGATGAACGCAGCTATTCCATGCTGAATATCTTTAGAAATACCGAACTAATTAATTAACAGGCCAAGCATGCCGATTGCATACTAAGTAATTTTTTTCAGTTACTCTCGCGTTTATTATTAAAATATCAATAATAAAATAAAATACAATAATACAAAATACAATAATAATAAAATTTTGGATAAACATACTTAGTCCGTTTATTGAAGTTGAAACTTATTTAATTTTTTTTATGATATTGAATGATTGTATATATCAAACTCTGAGGACCTAATAGTTTGAATTTTAATTATGATAAATAAAGAGGTTTTAGAAAAGTAGTGAATTACAATTATTATATATGCCAAATACCCAACATCAGTGGTCTTGGAAATATTTCCTATATTTAATTATTCGTAAAATAATTTTTTTAAACTGCAAGGACCAGAAATCGTACTCGTGTTCTGCCACTTTTGAAGCTCAGAGTCAGCGCTCCTTAAACAACTGACCCAAAGCCGTACTTGACTGTTCATATTTGACTGTTCGCACATTTTTTTGGAGTTTTCGCTAATTTGCTGTGAAAGTTTTATTAACGATTTCACAAATTATGATATATATGTATAAGTAAATTAAATTAATCTAATTTAAGTTCTATAAACATTATCTATTTTACATAAACATTTTAACTAAAAATATATCACAAAAATATACTCATCAACTTATTGAGCGAAATGAAATTATTTTATCAAAATAGGAAAATATTTTTTGAGAGCTTAATGGAACCATTCAACATGAAACAATCGACGTCCTTACGATGCGAGATGAGCTGCTGTGCGCTACATATGCCTCATGTACATCCTGTTGCATTCTTTGTGATTAATGGAACAGATTTTTTGTTTCCTTCCGTTTTGCCATTAACTTTTCTGTTGGCAAAATGCAATATGACAACTGGCAAAAATATAAAACTTGAAGCTGAGAAATATGGACGGACTCACAGAACAGACAAACCAGACAGACATTACTTGTTTATTACACATTTTTAAGTGGAGCACTTAACTTGCTTGAAGTGTATTAATGCGTTAATGTGTTTCCACACTTCTGAAAAGGACTCTCATATATGGATTGAAGTCTGAAGACTTTTATTAAAATATTATACATTTTTTTTATAAGTCCTAATACTTATGTATATATAAGCCAACGTAATTGTATAATTTGCATAAATGAAAGCTAACAATAATAAAAAGGGAGTAATTAATAAATCACAGCTTTTCAATTATAATTTATTCTATTTAATTCTGTTTCAATTTATAATAGGAAATCATATATATTAGCTAAAACTGCTTGATCTGTTAATCCCTTCTTTTTATTAAACACAATAAAATGTATACGAAATGAAGTAAAAAAAAATATAAGTCGATGCTGAAACTATTTGAACAAAATGTAAACATTTGTTTTGTGCAAGTACCGACAAAAGACATTTGTTCTCCTCGAAATTCTTGTCCTCCTTTATCTTTAGTTTTTGTTTTTTAAATAAAATGTGACTTTTGGGCTACCGAATTACGTGCTTCAATGTGCCAATGCAGCGCTGTTTTACTTTTATTGCAGTTGGCATAGGATCTTCAGAAGAGCTACTGAGGTGACTTCAGCTTATTAAATGATAAAAGAAATATTTGAAATTCGTGCATATGGAAAAATTCTGTAAGATTTTCAAACAAAAATAAATTTCAACAAAGAACGAATGAGCTCATTCACATCCAATTTAATATTTTTAAATACTATAATTTAATTTAATATAATATAATCAAGTCAATTAATTAAAAATAATATAAAAAGAAATCTTTTTGTTGTAGTTCACTACTTTTTAAAACCTCTCTATTAACTATTGCTGTTTCTATTAAAGTAAAAATAGTCAATAAAAATAATATAAAATTATAATGAAAATAATATGAATAAAAAAATATATTCAATTTCCGGTCTATCTTGTATGAATCGTAGAATAATATTAGCATGAACTTCTTCGCATTACATTCCTAGATTAGGTAGTATGCACAAGAAAGGCTCTACAAATGTCCCTACAAATAAATAATATTGAAAGTTAACAATTATATAAAAAAATATTTTATTAAATAATTCAATTATGCTACAGTTGGTTTACAATTTTATTCTAATATAACAGAGCAAATGAATTTGTTAATGAACTTTCGTAGCAAATTAACAAAACTCCATAAATGTGCGAACGTAAAAAGTTAAATACGGCTTTGGGTCAGTTGGCTAATGAACGCTGATTCTGAGCTTCAAATGTGGCAGGGTACGTGTTCAACACTTGGTATTTGCAGCATCAAAAACATTATTTACGAATAATTAAATATAAGAAATAATTCCAAGACCATTGATAATGGCTATATACCAATACTCAAGACAGCTGTATGTTCAGTCAAAAATCCAAATAATTAAAAATAATTTAAAAAAGATTTATATTATTTTAATTTAATTTTTGGCTGACTAATTAATTTTATTTATATTATAATTTACTGTAAATGGCAGTCATCTTACTAAACAAAGTTTTAAACGACGATATAAATTTCTATGATGAGGGATCACTGTAGTTATATGATCTCTCTTCTAAAGAGATTATGAATGCATATTTGGCAGAGAGTTAAATCATTTCTGTCAATAATTTTTAAATTTCTGTTACTGGTAATCTTCTATAGTTTTTTTTTGGGTTTTGCCAATTTTAAGTAATATTTTTTGTATGGACAGAGTCACATATCCACGCAAGAATATATATATTTGCATGTAAAATTTGCAATCTTTAACATGTATTCGTCAGCAGCACTATTTTGACCAACTTGTTCAAGCATAGGTAGCTTTATAACTAAAGTTCAATCGAAATTTCACTCTTAGTGTCATTTTCAAATTTTCAATTTGCATTGAAAATAACAACAAATACAAAACATTTCACTTAAAATAAATGGACAGTTTCAAAACCCTACTCCTACAAAAAGTTAGAATATTTACGCATTCAAAATAAAAATATTTTTATGTTCAGTATAAGGTTTACGGATTTGTGATGAAGAAGAAACCATACTTTAACTTCTTATGAGAGATTCACTTTATCACAATTTGGTAGATAAAATTTCATGACAAGTAACGTTTGTATTAAAAAATATCTTATTTTATTGCCATTATGCCATTATATTGAATAGAAACTCTAAGTTTTCGCAAAATCACACTTATATATTCTCAACTGCTAATAAAATTCATAAAATTAAACTGCCACCTGAATAAATTTATATCTTTTAACCTCCACTTAAAAAAAAAAAAAGAAAATAAATAAAAAGTTATTTTAATTTTTTCACCGATAATACAATATTTTTGTGGTTTTGATAAAAGATACACTCGCGATATGTTTTAGGATCGTATATTTTTTATGCATTAATGGAATTTGCAATGAAAAAATTTTTACGAAAAGCAGAGCAAATATCGGAATTTAAGGAAGGTAGGAATGTCCTCATAAAAATGATGCATACCAAGTTTAGTAACTTTTTAGCACTTTAAAAGAAGTTGCAGTACCT